ACTACCACTCTGCGGAGTGTTGATAGTTAATTGTACACGTAAACTAGAAGTACTACCACTCTGCGGAGTGTTGATAGTTAATTGTACACGTAAACTAGAAGTACTACCACTCTGCGGAGTGTTGATAGTTAATTGTACACGTAAACTAGAAGTACTACCACTCTGCGGAGTGTTGATAGTGAATTGTACACGTAAACTAGAAGTACTACCACTCTGCGGAGTGTTGATAGTGAATTATACACGTAAACTAGAAGTACTATCACTCTGCGGAGTGTTGATCGCTAACCGTTAATGTAAACTAGAATCATTAACACTCTGCGGAGTGATGATGGTTATTGTACACGTAAACTAGGATTACTATTAGTGCTATTATAGGATTGTTAACGTGGAGGATTATTAGTTATAGGATTATTAGTGTGGAGTGTTGATAGTTAATTGTAAATGTAAATTAGATGTACCAACAGGTGATGCTCCTCAGAGCCGTGCAGTGCACGTCAGAGCCGTGCAGTGCACGTCAGAGCCGTGCAGTGCAAGTCAGAGCCGCGCAGTGCAAGTCAGAGCCGAGCAGTGCANAGGTCATGTAATAGTTAACTCAAAAACAAAATGACAAAACACGTAGCCTAACTATCTATGAAATTATACCTAAAGGCGGTCCCTAACATCACCCCCCACCGAGTGCAAAAATTCTTTTATTGCACTTAACAATCCTATAATACGCGAACAAATACGGGCGATGAAGGTTGCAGCATGAATTAGGCTAATCTAACGCGAAACAGGTCAAGATTTCTTTTCTGTACAACTTTATTACACATAAATATACACGCTAACTGGCTTAAAATTCTCACAGGATTTTTATGTACATTTATTTTACAACGAGACAAGAGCAACTTAGAAATAACGCGATCGATTTGAAACATTTAGGATATACACATGAATTGGCGTGACCTGTATAACATTGCGCGAACATTGCGCGAACAATAAGAAACTCTGGAATCCAGACATTTAGCACCAAGCGTGCAACGTTAGGTCAAATTTCTGCTTCGATAAACCAACCTTAGGCTCCTTGAACAATTTCACCTGCATATTTTCTGCACAAGGGTTCCGACACGCCCTGTCTCTTATACACATCTAGATGTGTATAAGAGACAGCAGTTAGACTGCGACTATGTTCAAGCAGTGCCGGTTTTAAAATTGATCGCTAAAAAAGTATGAACGCAAATGAAGTTTAGATACATTTGTTGGCGTACCAACTTTTCTGAAAGTACTAGTATAACATTGCCACTTACAGAAAAAAAGACCATTTCCTGTGGGCCCTTAACTAACGATAATATCTGCCATGGTGTGTTGCCAGTCAAATCTGCCTAACTGCCCATTGATTATAACGAGTTTAACTTGTTAGTGTTTCATCAGCTCGTTCTAAATCTTTGGTTTTGACTTGTTGAATGTCTCACATCGTTACGTTTCATCTTATTTGTTCTTCATCTCGTAGGACATTGTTGGGGACTAATGCATTCTTTGACCCCAAACACTTGGCCAATGATCGTAAATAAAAAGGATGAATAAAAACTGATAAATAAAGAACTATAATAATAAATGAAATATAAATACAAGAAAACAAATTACAAAACTATAAACCGCGTGTCTCTCTAGCCCTTGCCCACTAATTCCTAATCACGTCCTAAGTTCGGAGCCCCGCTGAAAAATACACAAATACATACAAATTAAGGACTTGAATTAACGCAACACATAACAAATGAATATAACGCACATAAATTATAAACTAATATAAATAACAATATTCAATATCACCAAAAAGGCCACCACTATATCAATACTGAAGAGTAACACGATAAACAATACAAGCACTACCCTCTGTGGTGGATCACACAGCAATGACAAGATACAAGGCGGGTCTACAAGAGGTCATGTAATAGTTAACTCAAAAACAAAATGACAAAACACGTAGCCTAACTATCTATGAAATTATACCTAAAGGCGGTCCCTAACATCATTACAGGCATTACAGTCATTACAGTCATTACAGTCATTACAGGCATTACAGTCATTACAGTCATTACAGTCATTACAGTCATTACAGTCATTACAGTCATGACTCACCTGCTGGTGAACTGATGGGTCATGACTCACCTGCTGCTGAACTGGTGGGTTATGACTGACTGGGCTGCGCTGCAGCGGGACATCCTAAGGGCCCGGCGGGTGGCGGTGATGAGGGTGATGGTGAGGTGCAGGAACAGCAGCAGGTTCACCCCCAGCAGCGCCGCCATGGGACCGTACACGTACACCCACAGTGACCCGTGCTCTGGGGGTACGTGGAGGGAGGACGGGTACGTGGAGGGAGGTGGAGGGTACGTGGAGGGAGGACAGGTACGTGGAGGAGGGAGGACGGGTGCGTGGAGGGAGGACGGGTACGTGGAGGGAGGACGGGTACGTGGAGGGAGGACAGGTACTTGGAGGACTTGGAGGGAGGACGGGTACGTGGAGGGAGGACAGGTACTTGGAGGACTTGGAGGGAGGACGGGTGCGTGGAGGGAGGACGGGTACGTGGAGGGAGGACGGGTACGTGGAGGGAGGTCGGGTACGTGGAGGGGGGACGGGTACGTGGAGGGAGGACGGGTACGTGGAGGGGGGACGGGTACGTGGAGGGAGGACGGGAGGTTAGTGTGCCAGTCTATATTACATGTTTACACTACAGTTACTGTACACAGTATACAGTACAGTGCACATACCATCTTTACTGGGGAAGCAGGTTTGCCTGGTGTGGGGCCTGTACAGGCTGTACTCCCCAGGGGCGAGGTCTGCCCACACCCCCACCCCCGCGAGGAGAAGGGGCATCCCCCACCCCCACACCCCGTACACGCTGTACCGCCGCCATGAGAAGCGACGCTGCTCCATCGCAACCCCCCTGGGGGGATGGGGATGGCGGGGGGAATTGGGGTGAGTGCAGCGGGAGGATAAAAGGGGGGGGGTGAGGATAAAAAAGGGGAAACAGAGAGGGAAGATAAAAGTGGGGGAACAGGGGGTGAGGATAAAAGTGGAGGCACAGTGAGGGAAGATAAAAGTGGGGGAGCAGAGGATAAGGATAAAAGTGGTCAAACAGAGAGGGAAGATTTAAGGGAAAAAGAGAGGGGGAGAATAAAAGGAGAGGAACAGAGAGGCAGGATTTGAAGGGAGTAACAGAGAGGTTGATGATAAGAAGTGGGACTAAAGGGTGAGAAGAGAGATGGGGCAATATGGATTGGGAATGCAGGCGGGGAATAACGGTGGTATTTAATGGTGGTGAATCAATGGGGAAACTTGGGGGGTGGATTAGGGAGGAGAAGTGAGATATGAAAGTAGAGGATAAATTTAGGAGATGAAATCGGGAATGAAATTAAGGGATAAGTTTAGGTGATGAAATTGGGGATGAAATTAAGGGATAAGTTTAGGAGATGAAATTGGGGATGAAATTAAGGGACATGTTTAGGAGATGAAAGTGGGGAATGAATTTGAGGAAATACTGATGAGAGATGCATACAGATGGAAATGCATGGGAGAGATGAATGCTGGATAAACTAGCGAGTGACGAGCGGTTGAAAATTCGGCTTGAAAATAAATCTGGGAAATGCTGTTATACATAAATGACATGTTGAATGCTGTTATAACATTTAATAAATGTTGTTATAGATAAATGTTTAGAAAGAGGTTGATGATGAAAGTGAAATATAGGCGCGAAATACAGGAGCTGGATATTGTTATCAATATACGACGACGGTGGAACATCAGCATACATACAGTCTGTCTACTGGTCGTGTGGACTGTGTTGAGTGTGTGGTGTGGGCGTAAGTTTTCGCCTGATGGTCGTGTGGACTGTGTTGAGTGAGTGGTGTGGTCGTAAGTCCTCGCCTGATGGTCGTGTGGACTGTGTTGAGTGTGTGGTGTGGTCGTAAGTCCTCACCTGATGGTCGTATGGACGTCGTAGCAGATTAGGTTAAGCCAGAAGAAGGAAGCTAACGTTGACGCGTGGCTAACGGCGCCTGAAAATATACCAGATCAATACTTTTATTTATCAGGAAAAGTTGCGCACAATTAAAAACTTTTCAAAATAATCTAAATTCACTCAAGAAAAATTTTATAGGCGATTTTTCTGTTAGGTTAAGGATAGGCCAAAAATTTGATAGGCCATCACTGGACAATAGCTTCAATATCAAGCAATAATGCTTGATATTGTGCTTGATTCACTAATATGATAATATTAGTTGATAATATGCCAATAATGCTTGATTCACTTGCAATTGATAATTCAATTTATTTCAGTAATTTAACAAATTATGAATGGCTGAAACGCAGGCGCGAAGCCATGATAGGGAAACCTAGCGAATAAGCCATCATCAACTGAACCACTAAGTTAATAACATAAAATTCGGTTTGACTGCGAGTTAAAGTAAAAATTTCTAAGTTGTTGAATGGTGAAATGATTCAATTTACCACAGTTGTTGCACTTCTTCCCATACGCAGTGCATTACCCTTTCCATGAACGAAGCCACAGTAGGAACATTTCCCGTTGCCACTGTCCCGTTGAAACGCTTCCCATGGCTTGCGCTGATTGCGGATTACGCAAACATTTTCTACCGGTTTGTCATCTTTCCCGAGGCGTCGACCGGTTCTCACGTCGCAATACGAGCGCGTATATTCCATGACGAGATCTAGTGTATATTTATCCCGATTGCAGAGATGAAGGTGATCGAGTTTCTCTGCCAGCTTCTCGTCGGCGATCCCTGCGACGAACTGATCCCGTATTCGCCCTTTCTTCGCCGCTCCGAATTCACAATCTTCCGCCAATACAAAAAAGGCTCTCAAATAGTTCTCCTCATGCAGACTCGCCAACTAACTGATTCCTACGCTGGAACTGTCGCCTCGACCTAATGACGTTCAATTTTGGCTTGAAATGCTCGTCAAAGCTCCTAAGTACAGTATCAAAATTCTTCTGTTTCTCGGCTGTCTGACTGCAGGTTTTCATGACATTTTTTGAAACTTTACTCATGCAATATTTTAGGCTGGTGACCTGAATCTTGTCATCCTCGCTATCAAGCTTCGTGACTTTCCGGAAGGTCATAAAGCAACTCTTCCATGTATCCCATTTTGATTCATCAAAATTCAACTGGTCGGGAGCGCGATACTGAGCCATTCCATAAGCAGTTCAAGACCGGGGCACCATGTATAAGCGTTACCACTGAACAACACAGATAGTAAAACACAAGTTGGCTAAGAAGATGTCTAAGTTGGCTAAGGGGTCTACGCCCGAACGAGGATAAAATGCATACTGATAAGTCGTGCTACTATCCTACACGTTAGTTTCCGCAGGTACATAGTGGTTCGAGAGAAGCTCGTTACCAACAGCTCGACCAGGAGGCAGTCAGCAATTGGCCTAAAGGTAGTTGTCAGGATTAGGCATAGGCATCAGTCAAGACTAGGCCCTGGCGGTAGTCAGGACTAGGTCTAGACATCACTGGAAAGCAGGCGTACTGTGCACTCACCAATTATGAAACACAAGTCGGTGCCATGTAGGCCGTTTGGCGAGTAGGCCAGTATATGGAGCAGGAAGGACACTAGTAGCGATGCCACCTCAGACACGATGCAGCCACCAGCGGTTGTGTCACTAATACTGACGCTGGCGTAGGCCACTAGTGTCAGTAACAGGAAGACGCAGGACACCGCCATTAGTGAAGCTACCAGGATTTCGTTCCAGAGTAACGATGGTTCAGGGGGTGGACTCGAGCAGTAAATCACAGACTCCGTGGTGGGCTGTGATGAATTTTTCTGTGGGAGGTCAGAGAAGAGTTGAAAAAATTTAGTAGCCACATCCATTTATCATATTCCTTTTTTTTTGCTGGGTTCATATATAAAATTTCAATTTCGTGTGTTTATCCGATAAAAACTCTTAATTTAAGTCTAAAAAAGGACAGTCCAAGGATATAAGTCGCCAAATTGATTGCAGAACCGAAAAATCTTAATATTCCCCCCTGTATTATTTTACACATTGAACAAGTTCTGCGGTATTAAAGAGTTCATGAAAAAAACTAAAATTAAATTTGTGCAGTTAACAAATAAATATATATTACTTGCACAAATTTTACTTAAATGCTCACCATGCGTGAAGTTTCGAAACAAAACTGTGACCAGTCCAAAGTTTGACCCAAGAACTCCAGGCTTGAGTTGGACGTCAACTTGAAATGACTCGAATTGAAATCATCTCGCCGTGAAGCACAAAGCGGCAGCCCGAATACCCACTCAATTTCATGTAATTTCGGCACACTCTCGCTGCCAAAGTTTTGTAAAGATATAGTCCGATTTTCAGAGCTGATACTTTCGAAAGTCATATTCTCATGTGAATACATGGAGTATAATTCTTGTATCCAGGACGTCCCCTTGATTGAAATTTCACACTTCTGAGTATCAACGTTGAAGATCTCGGATGTCAGACAACATTTCCTAGCAATTAAAGGTGGCCGGAAATAAGGATTTACAAGATGTCGTTTACTGTTTGCAGATGCCGTGCAAAACGCAGCTGCGAACTGGTCTTGATTTCCACTAACATGAAAAACACAAAACTGGTCGTGACTAAACCGACGGTAAAGTTTGTCTTTCAAATTCCAGGAGAAGATGGCGCCTTCTCTGGTGTACGACATATGATTGTTTTTGTCAATAATCTTGGTGGTGATCGAGTGTCCAGTTGGGCACTGCAGCGACTTTCCTGTTAATTCTGAATACTTCCAGGAAATGGACTCGTTTCCTACATATAAAGATAATTCTTTACTTACGTTATTGTTAGAATGCATTGAAGAGTTCATATTTTCTAAAATGAATGAAGTTTTTGGTAAATTAAGAATATCATTGTCAGACAAACCCTGACACTTTTTTATTGGACGTTTAAGACAAACCTCTGCTTCCCACCTTACATCATGATCCAAGTGAGAACCGTTATTATTAACTCTTGTATTTGATGTCGAATCAGTCGCTGCAGCTCTGATGTGTCTCATGCAATAATAATCATGAGAAAAAAACATACCAAGCGGTATCAGCAAAAGAAACCCGTTACTCAACAGTGCGAAGGTACCATGGGGGAGCGTCACCAGAGTTCTGTTCTCACTGCATCGCAGATCCTGTTGAGATCCGTTCACTGAATGGGACGTGATTTCCATAGGAGAGTGTTTGGATCGATCCACAACTGTGATTGTCGTGTTGTGTGGATCACATCCACTGACTGTTGTCACGTGTCCACCTGTACAATCACAGTACTGGACGTATAATCCATTCCTTACTCGTTCCCTATGAAGGTCTAGGTTATCGGAGGATCTCTTGGATTGAAGCAAGGAACGAGGGGCTCTTGAAGGACTTCCCAAATCATTATTCATATCTTGACCAAACCCAGCAGGCTTGGGATCCCGAGAGGCCGGCGTGTGGGCGCTAAGACGTTCTGGGTAGCAGACAAGCGTTAGAACCACCGCCGCTACAAACACGCTCTTGGTCATGATGGCGAACTCGATGATATCATTTGTTCTCTGCATATTATTCGATGTTTAGAAATTACTCCCTTCGTTATTTGAACACATAAATGCGTAAAATTATCGGCAAGGTGAATTGTTGTTAAATATAAATGAAACTTAGTGAATAAGTATTTTTTATTAGAAATTTTTCATGGCAATGTAGGGAGCGTAATGAGTGAAATCGAGAATGACATTCACGGAAGATATTTTTCAGTTGCTATTTCACTGGCCGTCATGGTACCGTTCTCTTATATGAGATATAGGAGAATTGTTTTCGTCGCGATCGTATCCATTTGTACTGCACGAAATAGTCTATGGTACTCGAAATATTGTGACTTTCATGCACCAATCGCATGAAACCACGGCCGGGGCACTGTCACCACTCACACGCGACTGCGGGGCACTGTCACCACTCACACGCGACTGCAGGGCACTGTCACCACTCACACCTCACCACCAGCAGTGCATGTTAGGCTGGGAAAAACTAAGACGCCGGAAATCCTGTGCCGATGTCTCTCTCATGGTCGTGAATGTGAACAAATTCATATTACTATTATGTGGCAGAATTAGCTTGTGTCAGAGGATGCACGCATGACTGGAGCTCATATATTAAGCTCTACCTGAGGATCAGGTTCGTTGACTAAGGTAGTGAAGGTAAGTAAGACACATCTGTCCAGATATCATATCTTGTATACTGGGTGGTAATACAGTGTTACGATACGGAGGAATAAGCTACGGCGTCGACCGTTATAGGTCTGAGAGCCGAACGACGCGTTACATCGCGAAGCGCTTATCAACTACTGCGTCTGCGGGGGCCCTTACTTGAGGTTGCTAGACCTTATATAGGCTTCTGGCTTCCGCCCACTACTAAGGTCTTGATTGCGTGATCTATCACGTGTCTTCCAGACGTTGACTCGTCCTCAATCTCTATCAGGTCAAGTGACTATTACGTCTCAATCACATACAATTAATGATTATAATGGGGCGCCAGATTGACACCGGACACTTGTGTGAACATGGGTGGTGAATGACCAGATAATTTATTAATTTAAATTTTCTGGGTCGAACAGTTTGTCAGAAGACGTTGGTTGATCAAAATGCAGGTTTTATGAAGTAATGTTAATTTATTAAAGGCGTCTCAAATGCGACACCATTCATTTTCAAGTTACTGGAAACATTGAAAACTGAAATTTTGTCAGAAATAAGTACATGATACACGTAAATATGATATAACGCGAAAATGTGGAACTGTAAAAAAATTATTTTTACGTTTCCAAATTTTTTTACGGTTCGTGTTGTATCATATTTACGTGTATCATGTGCTTATTTCCGCCAAGCTAGGTTAGCTCATTCTGGATTATAATGATGTTACTCACTCCCGATCAATTGCAAGATCTCATAACAATCTTTCTCCAATATCTTGATGAAATTTCTCGCATTATTTTTTAATTGCAATGTGCATCTTTCTTTCCATATATTCTAGATTCATTAAGAGAACATATAGCTCTCTGTTCCAAATTATTAAATAAATCATTCAATCGAGAAATATCTTGGATTTATTCCGTGTAACAGAACAGCTTGTGAAAGGTCGACACCTTCAAGATACGCATATTGCTTGGAATAAACTTCTTTGAACTCCTTATCGGTGCCATCGGTTATTTCCCCACGATATTGTGGGAGAGATCTGAAACCATCTCAATTAATCATAATGCTGAATCAATGGAGAAATCCCAGATCATTTCGATAATTTTTGGTGTTGAATCTTTGAAGGGATCTGAAACCAACACGATTATTTATGATGCTTAATTGATGGCGAGATGTGAGATCATTGCGTTGTTAATTATACTAAATCATCATCGAAGGAATCTGAAATCATCGCAATTGTGCATGATGGCTGTTTCGATGGTTAATCAGTTTTAATTATCGGTTTTGGCAATAAATATTTGTGGGGCTGGCCGCAGGTGTTGACGTTATCGGGCATAGATAACACGGCATGCCTGACACCTGCGACTTGAGATACGGCGTCTATGCTTAGTTGGACCTAATCTCTTAATTGGACTCCCAATTATAATTCAGCAATTCAGGTCAAATTTGTCCTGTAGTACTAATTACGCATTGTTTCTTAATTATAACAGTACCTTAGCGCTATGTGAAACAAAAATGTTATTGACAAGAATTGGTTTTTATTTGTCACAGCCCTGATCTGGTGTGCGGTAATTTTGAAATAATAAAGATAAAAGATTGTCAGTTGACACGCCGCTCAGGTGGCGGCAAGGTCATCGAGTAGGCAAATATCCTGAGCAAAATGAAGGGGGAAGATGTCGTCGCCACCTGATTGGGGGGCGAAAAGTTTTATCAGTCGCGATAGCAACCATGGCTCGCTAGCCTCACTTGCTAGCTGGGGCTTGCAAGGCTACTTAGTGCACTAGTATAGTGCTTGTAGGACTGCCTGAGTGCCACCTACACTAGTGTTTGATGTGCTCTCTAGAGCTCATTTCCTGATTGGATACATAGTGCACTAGTGCATGACAGAATACCTGATATACTAGTGTTTGGGATGCTGTCTATAGAGCTAGTGCCGCTAGAGCGCTACTGCATGGAGCGCCGGTTATGTTTTCCTCCGTCTTATATCTGGGTAGTCAAGTCGTCCTCGCCGCCAAGGTCTCAGGGGTCAGTGCATGGCTACAGTAAATCTGCCCTCAGTTGGACCAACTGAAGCACGAGGCTGATAATAATAATAATAATAATAATAATAATAATAATAATAATAATAATAATAGCTGTTTCAGCGTTTATTAGGCCGTAGGCCTGTCGCCGATTTTTAACATCGCAAAACATTCACAGCTTGATTTGGTCTCGAACACATAACTCACCGCTCAACTTCTGCTGTGCTTAACCGCCCGGTCTCCTTGCCGATTCTGATCAGAAACTGGCGCACAGAGCTAGGATCAAACCCGCACCTCTCTGCTCCAATCCTGGTACTCTGAACTGTAACCACTAGGCCACCCTGCCTTGCTTATACAGTATTTTATGTTGCTTTCTTATATCGCCGGTAATGCATGCAGAGTCGGACGATCACGGATTGTGCCAAGAAATACGTCCATGCTTCTCAATCTTGCAGGGGTCCATGGGTTACTCTCTCTTGAAGGATTAAGCAAGGCGTTAAACAGCATCGGTCCCGCCACAGAAAGCGATCCTCTGAGCAGGGATTGAAATCTGGCTGCCAATCTGGTGCGTAATGCTGGTATTCTGCCCAGTCTCCTCCTTTTCTCGTTATGGCGCGTCTCAATCCGGGAGGTCTCTCTTTCGAAGTTCGAGGCCAGTCCAGCTGTTCTTTTCCATGTGTACAAAATGACAAACCTGTCCCGTCTCCTCTGCAAATGATTACAGTCCCTGGCTCTCCAGGCGGCTTCTCCATCCCTCTGATGCTGGAAGAAGAGGTTTGATGGACCCTTTCCAATTTCCGCACTGCACCCAGAGTGAGCAGGGTCCAAAGCTGGCAACAGTATTCAAGAAAATGAATCATAAGGGTCATGAAGAGTGATCATCAGTTCCGCCTCTCTTGTTATAAACGTCTGTCATATCCAATCAATCCTCCTGCGGTTATAACTGCTATGTGACCACCGAACTTGACCTGGACACTCAATTATCAACACTCCAGGATCGGCAACGAGTCGCTTCTTTTCGATTTTCGTGCCGTCCGGTGCTAGTTATCGGTGTTCAATACCAACTCTTTGTTGTTGTTGTTTATTCCGCAGTCTTGCTCGTCGATGAGGAGGCTTAGGTAGTGGCCGGGGGGAAGGCACAGAAAGAGAGGGTAGATGGGCGAAGGCAGGGAGGATGGCAAGGAACGCCGCTTCCTACATGGGACTGTCTCTCAATGAGGAGACGCTGAGGGACGTGGGAAGGAGGGGCAGGCGAAGAGATGCTGGACGGACTGGAGGGGATCCCCGCACTCCGGGCAGGCGGCGCTAGGGGTGCGTCCGACCCTTTAGAGGTGTAGGACGCCAGGAAGCTACAGTATCCCGAGCGGAGCTGGGATAGCGCCGAACGGTACGTAGGAGCGAGGGAGCAAGGCCTCCACTGCTGCAATCGACGGTGACGGGGCTGCGAGGACGGCACTGATAACGTCGGTCGCCGCAAAGCGGGAGGCGATCTCCCTGCGAAAGGAGCGCTTGGTCTCTCCATAGGCACCGGCGGGCATGATACCGTTTGCCAGAAATGGTGCAGCAAGGTGGCCGAACCTCGACTGGATGGAGGCTCTCATTGGGCGGTCTCCAAGGAGAGCAGAAACAATATGGAATGAGGTACCAACTCTTTCGCTACCTCTGTATCTTAGGGCTTCAAACTTTGCTCCGTTGAATTGCATATTGTTCACTTAAGCTCAGTCACATATTGCAGACAAGTTTTTTAGCAACCTCTATCTGTCTCTACTGTCCGTAATAGCCATTAGTACTCTGCAATCGTCCGCGAAAGATGACTTTGTCAAACGGGAAACTCTGTGACGGTTAACTTTTTCAAACGCTTTTGCTAGGCCAAAATATACTACGTCCACGCCGGCCCCATCCTCCAACATGACGGTCCCCTTCTCCTCTAGTGCACACTGCTTGTAGGATTGCCTTCTACAATAGAGTTTTGTGTGTCGTTCAAAGCGTTAATGCATGAGGGGAGACCTAATGCACTAGTGCTTGTTAAAATATGTTAAATATCGTTTAACTTTAGCCAGTTTGAAATTTCTGTTTATTCTATGTTGTTTTAATCTAAAGCAATTCAAGTAACAAATACTAAAGTCGTTAAAATTGTTCTTTCATTACTTTGCATCCATAGAAATGAACATTTATATTTTCGCCTTGAAAAGTTCAATCTAGAGTGCATGGGCAGAAACTATTTTATTGAATGCTTTTTGGAACATCGTTCTGCCCAGCATATTATCAAAGTAATTATTTAGTTATATTCCACTTAAAAATCTTTGAACCTTCTTTTCCAGGCGACCATAATCTGTCGTAATAGGATCATAACAGACCATACATAGCATTAACATGGCGCTGAGTAGAGGCTGGTTGTTGTTGATGTTGTTGGCGAGCTGCTGCTGCTGCCCGTCAATGTCGCAGGTCTTGCGTGAGTAATACTTTCGTTGTGATGACTGCAATAAATAACTTATCACGTAATCACGTATTTCAGTAATCACTTATTAATAATCACGATGGTAATTGTTAAGGAATGGGTATTTTCACAATGATTATTCAACTGTGGTGAATTAAATATTGTTTACGAAAAAGATAACTAAATTAGACCATTTGAGGAATAATGGTAAATATTATCTGTTCTACGTATCGGTGATAAGTTTAAATATGCAAGGAGTCATTTGTTAATATAAGGTAAAACAACAATCAGGCTCGCATATTATCAACATAATAAACTTGTGTAGCTGTTCTTTTCTAGTTCTAAATATGTGCGAATAAAAAGGCGGATGGGTAGGCAAGGGTAATAATAGGATGGGAAAAAATATAATTTATACATTTTTATTATTTATATATAACTATCCACGCTACTTAGGTATAGGAATATCATTAGGTACAATAAGCAGTTCTGAAACAAATGCATGCATGAAATCTCATCAAAAAATACTATATCAGTTCAAAGTTAACCTCTCCTTCCCCCAGCTGGGTGCATAGACCCCCCAGCAGATGGGGCCATCGCCCAGGTGGTGGTAGACGCCCTGGAAGCGATGAGGCCTTACTTCCTCACCGGCATCCCCAGCCTCGGGGTCCCGCTCCTCGACCCCATGGGGCCACTCCCTTCCATCGCCTTCAATGTCGACACTGAGGCCCTCGTGTACGTTTTAGTCTCATATTTTCACTTACTTTATTTGTAATAAAATTTTTTATCCATGTAACTATATGTGTCAATTAACCTCAAATTTTTTTATGTATTATGAACTTTGAGTCGCTTGAATTTGGGAAAAAACAGATGGGTATTTCCCCAAATTTCCCAAAATTTTACATTTGTTGATTTAGTAAAATGAATAAATTTTACTAATTCACCATAATTATACGGCCCGTTTCCACTCAAATTTATTCACTGTGGTCGACTTCATTCCACGTTTACCCTACGCCTGTCATTTCACTTTCCTCACTCGTGTATTAGTCTCGTCCTCCGTTACTCATGTCAACTCTTGCGTAATGAACTTCTCCCTCACTTCAGCGCAGCTATAGCAGTGTCTCCTTCTCCAATTTTTACTTCAGCATAAGAGATACATCTCAGTATTATCCTCTGAACTTCTTCTTCAGCATAACAGATACATCTCAGTATTATCCTCTGAACTTCTTCTTCAGCATAACAGATACATCTCAGTATAAACCTCTGAACTTCTTCTTCCAGGATTTCTTTTGAACTTTTACTTTATGTTATGAACTGACGATGGAGCTGGACTCCGAAACATTTTCACTTATTAAGATATGGTTAATTTTTGTGGTATTGTCTTTGTTTTCAAATTCCTCTTGTAATATTCACATATGAACATAATAAACTATAGATACATCACACAGAGGTGGGCAGTAGCGCGCTACATGTAGCGGTAGCGGTAGCGGCTCTACATTTAAGGCAATGTAGCGGTAGCGGTAGCGGCTCTACATTTAAGGCAATGTAGCGGTAGCGGTAGCGGCTCTACATTTAAGGCAATGTAGCGGTAGCGGTAGCGTCCGCTACATATTTAAGTAGCGATACGAGGTTTTGCCGCTACAGCGCTACCGCTACATTTATAGATAAAGCCTTTCGATTTTACTTAATAGTATTAAATATTCTTTAAAAACCAGGATGATTCAAACATGATATAAATTAAAGAATAAAACTGTACGAAAGATTTCGGTGTAATGTTGTCAACCTCAACCTGTTACTAGTGTCAACATGTTAGTTGTTACTTGTTAAGTTGTTACCAGTTACCACTTACAGGTATTTTTTCATGTTTCAGTTTGCTTACAGTTATTTTTACACAGTTATTTTAATGTTTCACCTTCGCTACATGGATGTCTACTTTAATCTACCAATCTAAAAAAAAACACATATATATACAAATAAAAGACTGATTTTTAGCGCATTTTCTCATTTATGCAAAAATGCACTATTGTGCTCGCCATGTCCGTCTGTCCGTCCGTCTGTCCGTCTGTCTGTCTGTCCGTGACTTCATGTTTTCGTCGACGAGAAAATGCGCTCTCTGTCACTCACTGCAGTGAGTACTTACTGACATATTTTTTTATATGTATAAGTGAATAATTTTTTAGATTGGTAGATTAGAGTAGACATCCATGTAGGGAAGGTAGAACATAAAAATAACTGTAACTTTTATTTACTGTATCTAACCCGTACTAGTTCGGTTAGGGCAGTGGTTCCCAAACTTTTTCAGGCTGGCGCCCCCTTTGGCTCTCTAGTGAATTTCTAGCGCCCCCCACAGACATACGCCTCTTTCTTGGAATTTAGTACGCTGCAATTTTAAAGATAAAGGTTAAACACAAATGTGTATTTCACAAATAGAACCCATTTAGTGAACCAATATGTTTTTCAGCTGTTTTAACTGTTTAAGCACTAGAAACCTAGGACGTCTCGAGCGAATTTACGGCCGGACTCGTGGCCGGTCTCACGACCAATCTCCAAGTTCAAATAGCAAGTAATATCTCCCAAACTAATGCACGCAGCTCTATGAAACTTGGAACATGTATTTATCAAAACCTAACTGTGATGTTTAGCTCGTAATTTTTTTCAAATTTTACCTTTATTCGTGAGTTACGCGTACATTGCGAAACAGTCCGAAATTCGCAGTGATCAAAGAATTTCTTCCAAACTATTGAACAGATTTGCACGAAATTTTGAACATACATTCCTAACTACCAAACGGTGATTTTTTAGCTTATAAAGTTTTTTTTCGATTTTACCTTCGTTTGCGAGTTTTTTTTTTCACCGTCATTCTTGATTTCACATTTCCTTATATTCGGCCCGTATATCGCCGTGTAATTTGAAACTTCAATTCGCGGCGATCAAGAAATTTCTTTTAAACTGCAGAACAGATTTCAAGGAAACTTTGTATATAAATACCTAACCTATCAACGAAGATGTTTAGCTCGTGACAATTTTTCTATTTTGCTTTCGTTCGCGAGCTATACAGATATAGGAGCTATATACAATCTACAGATATATTTGCCGTATAACTCGCAAACGAAGGCAAAACGAAAAAATTGCAAACATCACCGTTGCTGAGGTTAGGTATTTAAATACTAAGTTTCGTTCAAATCTGTTCAGCAGGTTAGAAAAAATGTCTTGATTACTGCGAATTTAAGCACGTATTGCTGTTTATATCACGAATGAAGGTGAAATAAAAAAACTCGCGAACGAAGACACGATCGAAAAAATTTTCACGAGCTAAACATTACCGTTTGGTAGTTAGGACTGTAAATTCAAAATTTCGTTCGAATCTGTTCTGTAGTTTGGAAGAAATTACTTCATCACTGTGAATTTCGGCCCGTATTGCCATATAACTATGGCAAAAACAAACGATGGCAAAATTCAAATAATTTTCACGAGCAAAACATTATCGTTAGGTCCTAATGAATTCGTGTACCAAGATTAATCGAGTTAAGTTCATTAGTTTGAGAGATATTCCTTGATCATTGAATTTGGAAATTGGCCGTGAGACCGGCCGCGAGTCCGGCCGTTAATTTGTCCGAGACGTAAACCCAGGAGAGGTTGAAAAACAGATCTGGGTGACAAAACCATCGCTGGGAGTCATGTGCTGCACGTGTTGTGTAAAAATCGTCAAACAAACGTTCGAACTTCTGACATTAACTTCAGACTACCGCCCCCCTTATTGCCCTCCTACCGCCCTCTTCTACTTTACCGCCCCCAAAATCTTTCCACCGCCCCTAGGGGGGCGATATCGCCCACTTTGGGAACCACTGGGTTAGGTTAATTGCAATAAAGTTGCATTGATATGTTTTGAAAATATTTTATTATCATTAAATGTTTAGGAGTAAATCCCAATGGCAGAACAATAAATATTTAGAGATTTCTAATAATTTTGGCCATTGTAGCGGCTAATGTAGCGCGCTACATTTTACTGTAGCGGAGCGGTAGCGCTCGCTACAGTCTAGTGGGTGTAGCGGTAGCGGTAGCGCCACTACATTTCAAAGTAGCGCTGCCCAGCTCTGAGTCATCACAGTACGACCTCCTACACATAGAAGCACCACATATGCACCACAGTATGACACAGTCCGCCTCATTCACAACTCGTTCCTGACCGACCAGGCTGGCTGGGACGGTGAATGAGACGGTGGTGCGAAACCTGGCGCAGTTCATCATCTGCCAGGTGAACGTCTCGGTGGGACTCAAGCCAAAGTTCTACGTCGAGTTCAGACTCGAGAACTTCCACGTAGATGGACTCTACGACGTAGACGGGCTAGCCGTGTCTCTCTTCCCCATCTTCGGGAACGGGAATTACACGTGAGTCAAGTGGTGTGGGGATTACACGTGAGTCAAGTGGTGTGGGGATTACACGTGAGTCAAGTGCCGACATAACTGAGACGTTTTGGTTACAACTGGCAGTATTAATCCTATTGGATTGCTGCATACATCACTGCAGAAATGCTGGTAAAATCTTTTAGACGGACTGATGGAATTGTACTGCAGTCACTTAGACTAATGAAATTCGACAGGCATAACTTATTTATTCTAATGAAGTCGTGCTGGCATCATTTGGTCAAATGAAATGGGCTAAGGCTAATGGAATGCCATTGTGACGAAAATAACGTCTTGGCGAGGACAAGAATAATAACAATAGAGCATGTACTCGTATTTTAGGATTTATTGAGAATAGAATTACCTAAACCTCTGGAGCTGTACACGGAAGGGACAATCGAGCTGCGCCAGCCCTCCTCCCACTCGACTATCTCGTCAGGACTAGCATCCTAGATAGAATATAAATTCGTTTAAGACCAAGTAAATATGAGAAATCATCAATTAATCATCAGTTATCCGTTACATCAGTTAGATCGACTATCAGTTAATAATCAATTCGTTAGATCAGTTATCCCTTAAGCAAAAATTATCAGTTATCCCTTAATTATTTATCAATTAATTATTCATATACTAATCATCTATCAATCAATCACTATCCCTTAATCATTCATAAATTAATCCTTTATCAATTGATCATTTATTAATTATTAATTATCAATTAATCATTTATTAATTAATTATTTAGCAATCGATCGTTTATGAATCAATCATCAGTAGGACTAATGGAAAGTTAATAAGTTAATGGCAGGCTCGACACGTACCAGTCTGGGTTCTCGGGGTCGGCGACGGTTAACTACAACGTCCTGCAAGACCGCCTCTCCATCAGCGACCTCGTCCTCGACGTTTTCTTCGAGGATATTGAGGTAATAATTGCTGTATATATACTAGCTGGCAACCTCGTCCTCGACGTTTTCTTCGAGGATCTTGAGGTAATAATTGCTGTATATAAACTAGCTGGCAACCTCGTCCTCGACGTCTTCTTCGAGGATCTTGTGGTAATAATTGCTGTATATATACTAGCTAGCAACCTCGTCGTCGAGGAGCTCGTGGTAATTGCTTTATATATACTAACCTCGTCTTCGAGGTTGCTCGTGGTAATTGGTGTCTATTTACTAGCGTGCAACCTCATAATTTACACATTCTTCCAGGAATTAGTGGTTTGCTGTATAAATATTAGCAGACAAACAAGGCTTCCTCGAAGTGTTCTACTGGACGAGGAGCTTGTATTACTAGGTGTATTTGTACACTAGCGGGCAACCTTGTCCTCAACGTAGTTGTCCAACGGCCAGTGTTACTAGCTGAATATATACTAGCTGGAAATCACAGAGTAGAAATAACGTTTTTCATTTCGTCAGTTGTGAACGTATACTTCGGTCGCTGGTGATCGATTCTTCTCATTCCGGCAGCTGGTGCTCGAGTGCATCCTGGGCTGCGGGCAGATGGCGGACTTCATGAATGGTTTTCTGAGTGAAATTGGTGAGTGATGAAGATGACGTGGTGGGTGATGAAGATGTGGTGGGTGATGAAGATGACGTGGTGGGTGATGAAGATGTGGTGAGAAATGAAGATGACGTGGTGGGTGACAGAGATGACATGGTAGCGATGGAGCTCTTGGTTGGTAGTGTGGAAAGAATTGGCGCATGATGAAATTCACATGGCTAGTGATGAAGCTGTTGGTGAGCATTGATGAAAGAATCACTGAGTGACGACGATCGCGTTGACAGTGAAAGTGATGAAAAACTCTTTGTTGGCAGTGTGGCGAGAACTGCTGTGTGATGAAGTAGACGAAGCGATAGTCTGATGCATGCATTGCTCTTATACTCGGCACGGTGCTGAATAGATCAGAACTCGAAATACTTAACCCTGCGCCTCAATATTTACCCTAAATTGCATGAAATGGCTGAGTTTCTTGGTTTACTACTTCAAAGACCGCCTGAACTAATCAATTCTCCGGTGCCAACGTATACCAATCATTCCTTCGCTGACCACAAATTCTTATCATTTCTTCATTCACCACAATTAATAATCATTACCTATTTCCCTGACTACATAAATTATGAAGTTTATTGAACTTCAAACTAAAATATCGCTTATAAATACAAAAAAGGTAATATTCAACAGAATATTGCATTCAAATCATCTAGAGTATAAACAATGCAGCAATTGTGATAATTTTAAATGAATAATTCATCGCTTTATAAAACCGTCAACTAACATGAATGTGTTGAGTGAGGTGACTGGCATGCGTAAGTAATGAAGGTGAGTTAGGTGACTGGCATGCGTGAGTAATGAAGGTGAGTGAGGTGACTGGCATGTGTGAGTAATGAAGGTGAGTGAGGTGACTGGCATGTGTGAGTAATGAAGGTGAGTGAGGTGACTGGCATGTGTGAGTAATGAAGGTGAGTGAGGTGACTGGCATG